CTTTAACATTCTACATTTTCTAGTTGGGGTTATCAGGTCCTTTCTTATTGGCAGAAGCCTTCGGGTCCGCGTCGGCTCTGTGCTCTCTGCCAGTAAACCCGTCACAGCCGGTGTCCCACAAGGCTCCAAAGTTTCACCTATTATATTTAACCTGTTCTGTGCTGACATGCCCTCCGACACTTCAATTTTGACAGCTCTCTACGCGGACGACATTGCCCTCTTAAACTCTTCCAAAAACATTCTCCAATGCACAAGGAAAATTAATAAGTTTCTCCTCCTGCTCCTAAACTGGTACCGAAAAAGGAAACTTTCTATTAACGAAACCAAATTGGAAGCATTTTTCTTCTCTCGTAGGTCTCGAAAACCTCCTTCACCCCCACCTACATGCGAATCCTTCGTTCCACACTAAACTATCCTTGGTTCGTCAGAAACACCCAAATTCTGAAAGAAACAGGTTTACCTTCCCTCCCTGAGGCTACAATCTCATTCGCAGCAAATCTCCGGGCCTCAGTGCCAGACCACGCAAACTCTACTGTCTCGACACTCTCCAACTTCGCCCCGAAGCCAAACGACCGTTTTTGAAGACCCTGTCACCTTCTACAATGAACCACTCCCTTTCGCTCCTCCTAGCTTCGCTTTTTAGCGCGAGTGTCCACCCATCACTTCGTAGGTGGACCGCCTATTCCGACGCCCCCCCCCCCAATTCCCCCACGCTTAACCATTCCTTTTCAACCCTCTCCCAAATCCCAACCTTTTATTTTATTCCCGGGGATGAGTAACCCTCAGGGTTTATCTCCCCACTCGAGGAGCGGTTTGAGTCGGTAAAAATCCGACGCTACCTCCCTTCAGAGGGTGTCTTTTGAAGATTTCCCTTCCTCGAGAATAATCTAAATAAAAAAAAAATATCAGATCATTAAACATTCTAGTCAATTCTGTTCAATCAATCTAATTAGCTTCTCAGTTCATCAGTAGTATTCATTCGTTGTAGTTTATCATTTATCTTTTAAGTATTTTTCGGTGTTAGTGTAAGTGTACATTTGTTAAAGAGTTAAAAATTGCATAAATTATTTATTGCTCGTTCTATTATTCCACGAAATTATTCTGCCATTATATCCAAAAATATCGACTTCGCTTGAGATGTTTGTTGCCAATTTTGAAGATAGTAACGAATTCCGCTTTTTTTAAGGGAGAAAACCGTAAGCCATAAAGCTTTTTAAGAACACATGTTAAAAATTTGTTCTAGAGGGTAGCTAATAAAATGGATTATGGTCTTCACAATTGAGATACTTATTACATCCACGCCTTCTGCTGTTGGTTTCATTAACTGCACAATTTCTATTATTTCACGGGTATTAATAGGGTGCATAAATATGGTTGTAGTTTTTTTTTTTTATGGTTTATTAGAGGGCTTAGCAATATTCTTGACTATGTTTAGTCCTACTTCACTGAAAAATCTGTTAAACAAGTTTGCTATGCCTTCAGCGTTTTCAATTTTATTTCCATTAAAAACAAACAAAATAGCTCAAAACCCTAATGCCAAAACACCACACTGTAGTTGTCCGAAGCATTTTTCGGTAAGAAGGTTACCTTCTTCAGGGATTGAAGTGAACTATTATTTCCATTATTTTGCAGATAAGTGACATTTTTGTTGTTCTTGATATTTGTTTTATTTATTTTATTCTTTACTAGTTGCCACAGATCTTTATTGTTGTAACGTGTGTTTTGAAATTCTAGTTTTTCATATAGATACTTTGCATGGGCAGTTGTTTTGTTGAGTTGTTTTACATATGCTTTATAATTTTCTTTAAATTCTTAATTTTCTTCTTTTTTTAAGCGTAGATATAATTTTTCTTTATTTATACAAGATTTGGCAATTCCATTTGTTATCCATTTTTTCCTCTTCTTCATCTAATTATCAATTTTTTTGGTTAAAGTTGACTTTGATACTGTTGCTTGTATAGTAGATATTAAAACTGAGATTATAGCCTTTGTTGTTGTCTCACATCAGTGTATGACTCCAGTCTAAGTTACTACATTCTTGAGCAAGACTGTTATAATTTATACAAGACAAAATTGCGTCTTTATCAACTTGTGGTTTGTCGACATTTATTTTTAGAAATATCGGCATATAATCAGCAAAAGCAGCCATAAATTTAGCGGGGTGTAAGTTAGTGAAGTTGGATTTAATGGATATATTGTCTATGCATATTTTTTTATCCAGATTTTCAATATTTGAAGGTCTCGTAATTCCGTGAAAATAGGGTAAATAGTGATACTCGAGAAAATTTCCTAAGAACTCGCCTGTTATTTTATTTTCATCCATTACATTAATGTTATAGTCTCCCGCTATTATATGGTTCTTAATGTTTTCGTTAGCATTCCTGATATTTTTATATTTTTGTTGTCTTTAAGTGTAATTTTAGTACATAAAAGTTTGAAGTTATCTATTTCCTCTATTGTTGTTGTTACATTCAGGTGTTTGTTAACATACAAAATAACTCCATCAGCTCTGTTGATTTGCTATGATTATAATAAATATTGTAATTAGATAGATTGTAATCCTCAGAGAGGGAAAGCTGTCATATTTCTGAATATACATGATATCAGATGTAGAGATTAATCTTTTATGAAATACTTCTAATAATTTAAAATTTGTCTGCATGCCTCTTATATGCATAAGGGCCAAGTCATTACAGTCAACGAAGTTATTTAGTGAAACCATGTCGGTAATTTGAATTTGTTTCTTTTCAAAATCCAAATAATCTAAATCGTTATTGTTCATTATTGTTCTTCTAATGATTATCATAATTGTATCCTAAAAATCATTGTACCTATAGCATAATAAGTATTTTTTATTTGCTTATGTATATGATACTTTAGGTACACGCAGTTTTTTGTATCAGTTGCAAAATGATTAGTATTTACTTTTCTGTCAAATTTATTGTTACTATAAGAACAATTTACACATTTAATTGGATGTATTTACACTGTTTTGTTGAATGTTTCCCACTGCATCTTAGACAGGCAGTCTCGTTTTTGCATTTTGTAGTACAATGACCTATTCTGCCATAGTTGTTCAAGGCATAATATTCAAGTCGTCAAACACTGATAACACAGGTCTGCGATAAAAAAGTTTTTTTGTATAAATTTATCTTAAGCATGCAAATGTTGGTCTATATTTTGCAAATATAAACTTTGTTTTAACGTATCACGTCACACTTTCTTTGTATATAGATTAATATATGTATATAAATATAGCTGTTTAAATCGGCGTTTTTTCACTAAATTCATTTTATAGTTTATATTTTTTTTATAGCCTCTAACTAAGCAGTATATTGACTTTTACTTTATTTTAGGTAGTCAGAAAGTAACTATAGTCGTTTACACCGCCTGAAAAAAAAAATAGTTTAGAGCGCGCCATTATTGAGAGAGATATAATATTAACGTGTAATAAATGATTGTGTTTCGCTTATCTTTAACTATGGCTTCTGTAAAAACAATTCTAATGTATTTTTTTACATTTGCAGAAAATATATAATAGTTAAGCAAATATTGAATATAACAGACTTTGTAAAAAATGCTTATTAAGCTTACTTCAAAATGAAGTTGTGTCACTAAGATAAACACTGGGTTACGGTAAAATATGCCGGCTATGTGTTGAAGTGTTAAGACAGTGGACTTATGGTAAATCAAAATCATTATTATTCGGTATTTCTATGCCTAAATTAGAATGCAATTGGAAGGCGGAGTGAAAAATGTCAATTAATACGAGTTTGAAAGATCCCGAAAAAGTATTGCTTCCACCACTTTACTTTAAACTCGGTTTGATCAAACAGTTTGTAAAGGCATTTCGACTTGACGAACGGTGATTATTTCATGTTTGGATATCGAGGTCATGATCTACATAGGTTTTAAGCACATAAAAAAATCGTAAGGACAAAAAAAATACTTTTTAAGAAATAAGTCAATTCAAAAATCACGTTTTTTTTGTTTATTTTCGATCTTTCCATGCTTTAATATTGTCGAAGATATTTTTAACCAACACCATCGAAAAGAGCATCGTTAACAACATAGAAACACTGGTTATCGAATATTTTTTCGTCGCACTCATTACGTGGCAAGGGTTCAAATAGAAATGTGTTCTCTGAACATTTATGGGTTAATGTGACGTGGTATACACCATATGAATATCGTTTTCTGTTATTTTTAAGACAATTACGACAAACATTAACAATTTAAGAAAAAACTTTTCAAAAAAAAAAATTTCGCAGACCTTTGTAATCAATGTATATTGTGTTTCCAAGGCATTTTATGAAAGCGTAAGTATCTGCTGTGACTTCTATAATCGCATTTTTGATATGAGATTCTAATTGCTCCTGTGACATATTGCTTTGAATGCCAATAATTTTCAGTCGTAGGATTTGTACCTATTTCTTCTTGTATTATTTCGTAATCTTCACCAATTTTTTTCAATTAATTTTTTTCAGTCTTCAAAACATCTCTGTACTTCGCTCAGTTTCTATCATCACTATTTTTTTTATTGGGACCACTACTTCATTTTCTAGTTTATTTATTACTACTTGCTTGGTGTTGGTTTTGTTTTTGTGTTCTTTGGATTTGATTAAGAGAGTAGGTACATAACCTTTTGCTTTATCAGACTTTTTTATAATTTGGCAACTTCATCTTTGATCCGTCGCGAAACCTCCTTACATTCAGTTCACAACTAGCTTGAGATAGATTTGTTTATTAGGTTGTTTATAACAAGAAGAACGTCCCGGACCATTTCATCTCACAAGTCTTCTTCCTGAGTGGACGTTTTAAGGCAATAAAACCTAAAATATAGGATCTCGGCGCTCTTGAGTCATGAGTTGCGCGTTATTTTAGCATTAAAAAAGAGATATTTATAAATTCTTTGAAGGGCTTTTAATTAAAGGGGGGTCCCAGTCGTCAACTGAGCCCGTTCTTGTATTCCGTTTGATTTTATTATGGAAAAACAAAATTTTAAAGCAAAAACCAAAAGGAAACTATAAAAACAGTTTATATACTCGTTTGGTGTTTCACATTCGTAAATACCTAACAGAGAAACGTACGAGAGTGTCGTGCTTACTGAAAACATGATGCCAAAATACTAGCATGTTTCTTCCAACGATAAACTAATTTGTTATTCTGTTGCGGATTTGTTGCTTGTTACCTGAATGCTACAAATCTCCTAAAAGAAATCTATTTAATTACATTAATTTTGCTAAAAGCAAAAAATATGTCTATTGGTATATATTAACAGGAGTGTGTGTTGTGTGCCTGAATCTAAATTAAATTTATTTTTTCCATAAAGGGTTGTTTTCGATTGGATGCAAGTTTATTTATTTGATTAAAAGTGTCACAACATCTAAGGGCGCAGGTCCTTTTTCTACTTGTTAAAGGCTATAGCCCACAAAGGATTCTCAGTTACATTCAGGCAGTGTTTTGTACTACGTTCTCATTAGATATTGAAACAAGGTAATAATAAAATATAAATTTAATTTAAATTTACGTATTTTAATTAAATTGTAATAGCATTTATTCATTAGTTTTAAAGTAGTCTACAAAGAAAATAATAAACTTATTAGTTATTGCATTATTACCGTACAGAAAAATGTTTTATTTGGTACTTTTAACGATGGAAAATTCAAACTGAGAAATTCAAGTATACGTACAAGTTTAATAGTTTGATCTGTAATATAAAATGTAAATATTAATTTTAAAAAAGGTTTAGTCCACAATATTAAAATAGTTTGTAGAACATATGAATAAAAGTTCACTTGGACGACTGTTAAGGTTGCAGAATATATGTCTTGTACTCTCAGTAATTTTATTGAATATATGATAGGTATGTATAATCAACAAGTAACTTTGGATATTTTGTTTTTTTTATTATATTAATTACAATAAATAATAATAATAATAGTTTGTAAGAGATATGCATACTGGCAAAGGTTTAACAAAGGGAAAACTACCATTAACTAAAATGTAACTACGCATTTAAGTTAAAAATTACTTTGCTATTCATTTTGTTATTATTAAATACCGGCATTTCTATACACATTCTTTAACATGGAGAACAATATTTTGTTTCATGACGTCGTGGCACTGCTTAAAAACTCAATTTTTTTAAAAATATTAAAAGATCATTTTAACACTATGTATTCAAAAATATGAAAATATCTTTTGTCTAAAGACTATTAATTACCTACCTTTCATTAAAAAGAAACAAAAAGTATTGTGTAAGAGATAATAATGGCAATGATTAACTACGAAGAGATTTACTTAAACCGTGGTTGTTCGTAAGAAACGGTTTATTCGCTTAAATCAATATTTGTTTAAAATTAATAAACTCTAATAATTTAATATGTTGTTTGGAAAATCAAAAATAAAGTAAGTACATTTATTTAATAAATGACTGAGTGCCATTCACGGTCAACTCCCCAGTTTTATAGTGCTTGAAAAATAATTATAACATATTTAAAAGTATTGACCGTCACAAGAAACGATTGGGTCCAATAACTCTACAAGATGACAACAGACACACACCCCCACCCACGCATGCACCCGTACCCACCTGTACCCACCCACATACACACACACACGCACGCACGCTGTAATTTTACTATACAAGAATGTGAAGAATTATACAATTTTAAAGACACTAAAAATCCTAATTATCAAGAGTAGAGTATATCCCTCTCATAAATACTTTTTGTTACTAAGAGTAAGCTTTCCTGTTTGTGCGGTGCCCTAGGGTTTCAATGTTAAGCATTCTTAATTAAAATGAAGTCAATTTCCTCTTACCGCAAGTAAATAAACAATGAAGTTCATCTGTAAGACTGCATTTTTAAGTAACTTTGGATATTTTGTTCTTTCCTTTTGGTAGATTAGTTACACTAGTAAGAGACATATGATACGATAAAAGTTTCAACAAAAGAGTTTTTAAATATAACTTTCGTTTAGAAGTTGCAAGATAATGATTATAAGGACTAGTCTGAAGCGAATTAAATTTTAATAAAAGAATACAATATTAATAACTTATCAATTAAGCATTTCTAAATTAAAATATGGCTAGCTGAAAGCATGAGAAACAGTGTCTTTGAAAAGAGTCGTCGTATTTAACATGTAACACCTCCCATTTAAGATGGAAAGTTTAATCTTGTAATTAATTTTCCATGGGTGTTGGAGTATTGTACTGTCTTCTAGATGTAGTGACCAGTGAAGTTCAGAGTGCAACCTCTCTTCTATAGCTGATTCGGTTGGAAGTTGACGTCTGATACCGGACCGTGTTGTAATAGACAATTCGTGAACAATGACCTGGATGACATATCGGATTTGGTCTACAGAATTTGAAGCATCCTGGGCAACAACAATAAACTAAACATTACATCCAAAATGGTTAACCAATAATTCCCATATATTTTTAAAAATTCTTTCTTTCAATATCAATTTTGTTCTTAATATCGATGGGTTTTGCTGTGGCCAGGTTTAAGCTCTCTTTATTTAAGTAGTTTAAATTGAAGGGCTGAAGATTTGCTGATTTGTTTTTATATTTTTCTTCCAGGCAGCAGTCTGATGAGATAACAAGGAGTTCGGTGTTAAAATTAATTGTCTTGTTGTTATCTCAGATGCCCTTGGTTATTATTATAAAAGTAACACGTATATTTCTGGTGGATTGTAATGGTGATTATTGGTATAATTTCAACTTTGTTGATTGGTAAATTTTAACATTTATAAGTGAGGTCGAGTGTACTTGTGGAAGCTGCTAGTCAAATGTTTCGGTCGATTTTTTTAATCAGTTCTTCGCTTGCAAGGTGGTGTAGATTTCACATGTATCGGGAAACGTTTTTGATGTTAATAATTGAGGAATGCAGACTTTGTTGTGAAATAGTTCTTGTGGTTCAACTCCTTCTGATATCCAGATACCTTCAATCTTCAATTTACAACAAATAATTTACGGACAGAAAGCAAGTGATGACGTTGGTGGCAAAAGAATGTGAAATAAGGAGTTTTGAGTAGGTATCCGATAAGGAAAAGGTTGGCACAATTAGGAATATCTAATTTAATCAATAATCCTTAATTTAGTAAATAGATTCTGGGTTTGATTATCAAATAATATTTATAAATTTTAAATACAGCTTTTAATTTGAAGATAATTACTCTAAAATATTAGAAACTTCCTTTTGGACTAAATTAGTGATTTCAAAAAGAACAGTCACTGTGTTTAGCATATGAAGTGCTAGATGATTTTCATTAATTTTATTTGTATCATTTTTAATAACTGATCGATAACTAACAAATTTTGCTGGAGTGTCTTTTCATTGATATTTAAGTACCTTATTCAAGGTTTAGTTCTTCTTTTGAGATTTTTAATGTATTTTTATTTGAATTTTGAAGTTGAAGTTTATTATATTTATCCTCATCGTCTTCATCTAACGTACCTACCAAATAATGCGTGTAAGCCTTTTCAAAAAATATTAAATCAACCTCTTCTGACTTTCCTTTCAAGTAATAAGAATCTAGTTCTCTCTAAATCGTTTTCTAATTTCATTACTGAGACCCCTAAAGTGGTAACATGATTAAATTTGACGTGTATCTTATTAATTTGAATTCTAAATTTTGAATGCGAGTATAAAATTGTTTAATTGTTTTTAAAAATTCGAAAATAATGGACTTGTTTTGTTTTGTAAACTAAAATAGTGTATGGAGTGTCAGATACAATGTGATTTCCCTTAGAGTGGAAATATATTTATGTATAAGACAATTCATCTGTACTTATGTCTACCACTACGCATCTGAATCAATACAAACATAGTTATATAATTTAATCTGTTCGATTGTAACAACAGTAATTTTTTTTTCGGTTTTTTATTAATTTTGAAAGTTTTTTCGTTAACAATTTCTATTATCTGAAATGGACCTAACCATTTGCAATTACCCTGCCTATTTATTGAGAATTTTTTAGAAATATTTTATCGCCTATTTAATACCGAGGTAAGGGGTTCCTAATTTTCGAATCGTGTTTCTTTAACACTTTTCTTTTGCTGAGCTTGATTAGTATGTGACGACCTTATGATGATGATGATGATGATGATGATGAATTCATGTAATCTGCTAACAGTGCCTGTTGTCTTTACCAGGTAGGATGGTGACGTTTTTTCATTCAAGTGTGAATCTTGGGGATCATTTACACTTCTCGAATTAATGCCGTACAATATTTCATATGGGATCAATTAAATACTGTCATTTACTGAAAAGTTATAAGAAATAGGGGAAGGTGGTCTGAGATGGCATAGATTTCGAAAAAATGAATTTTTAGGAATCTTGTAACTTAATTGAAATAAATAGCCCATCTATGTAAAATAAACGTTTATTATCTTCTTAGAATAATTGAACAAAATGAACACAAATTACTATTTCTTTGGAAAACAATCATTTTTAAAAAAGTCTTGAAAATCCATCTCACCCAACCCCTATGGGTAAGATGGCATACAATTAACAGTACTCATCCAAATCACCGTTTTACTTGCAAATATCACAAATGACAGGTTTTGACGTTTTTGGTAATCCAATGCACTCTGCGTGGCACCATCGACGACAGATTTGACATCGAAGCCAGCATTCTTTGGGTCGGGAATGGCTCCAAGGCTCCATGCAATAAATGCAGGATGGATCTTCATCGTCCGAGGCGAATGGTTCTTCCTCGTCACCTGATTCTGCCAACACGATTCTTTTTTTAGTTTTACGAGCAGACTTTCTTGAAGCTTCTGCGTTTTTTTCAGCTACAATAGCTTTTAGTTGTGTTATACCTGGAGATGAATTCAGTATTCCGAATTTGCCTTTCTTACGGTTCACAAATCTTTTCGTTTGCGAACATTTGGGCAATGGAGATATATCTGCAATCGTTAAAGTTGCTTCAGTTCGATTGTTAGATTGGGAGCTCTTTGGATCTGAAGGTTCTCCATCGGTCTGGACATTTGTCTGCGAGCTCACTGGTACTGAAGGCCCTGCATCAGTCTGTTCATTTGTCTGAGAGCCCTCAGGCGCTGAAGGCCTTGCTTCGGTTTGGTTATTTGTCTGAGAGCTCTGAGGCGCTGAAGGCCTTGCTTCGGCTTGGTCTCTTGTATGAGAACTCTCCGGCGTTGAAGGCCCTGCTTCATTTGGGTCACTTGTCTGAGAACTTTTCGACGGTGCAGGCCCTGGTTCGTTTGGATCATTTGTCTCAAAGCTTACAGGTACTGAAAGCCCAGCCTCGTTTTCATCGTTTATCTGAGAGCTCACAGGTGCAGAAGGTTCTGCCTCAGCTTCGGCTTGAGACTGGGAGGTCTGGTCAGTGACGTCTGAAGGTGCAAACATGAGATGGCATACATACTGGGTGAGATGGCATATACCCTATGCCGTCTCATCTGACAGGTACTTAATTTAGAAAACAAGTGGCAACTCTTTCATTCTTCAAGTTAGTCTAATATTTCAAG